ATATCTTTAGGAAAAAAAGCTGGTTGCAAAGAAGTGTTGTGACTATTTTAGCCATTTAGCCATTTTGCATCTATTGATGCCAACTACAGCAAGACATGATTTCTACTAAGCACCACAGAGGGGAAGTAAATAGCTTAACCCGTATTTTGTACTAAGATACAGTGCAGAGCATTCAGCACTTGGAGTCCATAAAACCACGCAGTGTTTATCCTGTGCTGTCATTAATTTGTTATGCACACGACCAGCTTTTGCTCATAATGAAGACAAAAAAGAGCATGATCTGAGGACAGAACACAGAGCAAGATCTGAAGGGCGCTGGGTGTTTCCTCCCGCTGGCCGGTGACTCTTTTCAGGGCCGAGCTGAGCTGGACATGACGGGCGATTTCCAAAGCAGAAGAGATTTCGCCTGGCTTGGTGTCAAGTGGACAGCATGGCCCTCTGTAGTGGGTCCTGTTGTATACTCCTCCTGTGAGGACACTGGTCTCTGAGCGACCACACAAAAAACGGCTGTCATAAACATCAAGCAAACATTTTAAATTAAACTTATTTGAAAAAATCACTATTTATTTAAAATAATTAGACGCAATGAAAAATTCACCATCTCTGACACTGGAGATATGTGGTCACATTAGATGGGACATTTACATATAATTGAAATGCATAAGTTTGAACTTATTTGACCTAATTCTTATTATGAACCATATTCTAAACCTTCGTTAAATGGATTATTGTCAGACATTATTGTGCTTTTTTATTAAACAAATAAGAAGAAAAGTGCAGTTTCCACAAACTTTAAGCCATTAGGCACCCATTTGCATAACTGTGGAACTGCATATGGAAAAATGAAGTATATGTTTTCACCTAATACCTGTAGTCTTATCATTTCATGCGAACTGCGCTGCATGCTGACTTCTTATATTACATGTGCTAATACTTTTCGTAAAACAAGAGGTTTAATATTTGAATGGCATGAAGTCATAATATGATCATAATATGATCTGTTATGAAGCCACTGACAGACACCAAAGCGGCTTTAATGTAACATCCCATGAAACGTAATTTTCTAGCTGTATATTTATTGCAGCGGTCTAGGGTGCAGGGGGACATGGGATAGCAATGGCCCCTAAAGAAATTTGATTGGCCACAGCACTTCCCCCCTCTCAGGCTGGAGGTTGAAAGGTTATTACATAATTAATCATGGATAAGGTTGGGTACAGTCTGCCTTCTATGTTTAGGAATCAGGAGAAAGTTTCTGTTTTACTAGAAACAAATGAGGCAATGCACTCTGATTCCACATTTCAATTCTCAGCCCGTATTTACCTTCAAGTTGCCCACAGCTTTAACGGTACCAAAAGTACCAAATTGAATGTGCACAAAGTTTCTGTAATGCTGAGGTGCGAAAGAAAATCGATGCATCAGTATTTTGTGCTTGCTTCTTCTGGTAAGATGCTCCCAACAAGAGGGCAATGAGAGGCGTCATGCTTGATGGTATAAATGGCTACACTTACGACACGTTTTTGGGGGGGTTCATGAGATGAATAGCTTAAGCCAAAGGTCCATGAGCTGTGGTGTCTGTGGCTCCTTTCACATTTGATGAATGGGAGAAGTGTCTGCAACCATGTTCACTAAAAAACAAGATAAGTCAACCTTGATTTTTTAAGAAATCCCAAAATGAGTTTGTGAGGTTACTCTAAAAATGAATTAGTAAACTCTAAAAAAAAGTGAGCGAATAATTAAAGAGGATGAGCAAATGAAATTTTAAATTTAAAAATGTATGTAAACATTTTTTACATGCGTTTACCTGCCACTACATTGCTGCCCATAACCCCCTTGTACTGTTTGCAGTCTTTAAAATTTTGGAAACTGGCAGTTTTTTAGAACACACCGATCTGCCATAACTGTCTGAATGTTATCAGTTTTTTACTCTGATTTGGTCCACTTGAATGCACATCTGTGCGCTCTTGTTATCAGTCCAATGGGGAGCAAACTTTGTTCTGCACAGCATGACAACAGTAAACATTTCAGAGCAGTTTCATCTTTGAAACTTATTCCAGAGTTTTGTTTTAAGGGTGTTGTAGCTAGTAAATGAGATATCGTAGTGTGTTGCCAACCAAGAACTATGTTTTGCTAACATAAACCACTTTCCTGCGGGTATGTTTTTGCATGTCAGTCAAATGGCTGCTTCTTATCAAAGTAGGCCTGTCTTGGCCACACTAGCAAAAACCTCAACATTCCCTGACGGTAATCAGAATAGTTGCGCTCGTGAGACTAGGACTCAGCTAGCAAATCATAGCAGCTTTGACAGAAAATATAAAGTGATTTTCCTTCCTGCTGTTAGCTGGTCAGCTTCTTGTTATTTGTATTATGATAATAAGATGAAAAAACATACAGTTTTTAAAATTTCAGACAAAGTACAGCAACATTTTGAGCACAGAAGACCTTGGATGAGGACAATGATACTCGAGACTCTTGTGAGAACCAAGAGGGCTGGTGAGGGTGCAGAAAAGGTTAGCATTGGTTGAAGTGATTTGTGTTAGATAGTGGGCATTCAGAGGATGGGTACTGTAGGCAAGAGCTGTGTCAGAACTGTGTGGCTTCATAAGCTGGAGTAAAAGTACAGAATACATTCCTGTAGGCTGTAAAAGAGCTCTGAGAAGGTGTAAAAGTGTCAGAGGCTGCAGTAATCTCTTTATGAGTCTGTCTCCTTGGCCAGAGAGCGACACGAACCAGAGACATGACAGATTTAGAGGCACGTTTAAGGCCATATGAAATTCCAGGGCTAGTATAATGTCATCAGATTTCAAATGAATGGTATGGTTATAAGCTGGGAAGGAAGCTGTTCCGTGTCCCTGAGATGCTACAGTTTGTCATTTTGTGAGTGCTTCAGGTAGAGGAGTAATTAGTAATATACAAAACTATACTACACTAGAATTTCTTTTATTAGGAGAAATTTACTTATTCCAATTGAAAATTACGCCTAATATTTGACATACAGCACTGTGCAAAAGCCAGAGACCACCTTTTTTCATCCTATTTCCAGACAAAACAACCATTAAGTGCCAGCTATTCAATTTTCCGGGTCATATGAGTTGTTGAAGCTTCTATATAATTTTCTGCTGTATATATGCCTTTGATTTTTTTCCTGACTCTATACTTAATGACTGTTTTGACTGGTCTCAGACTTTTGCCTAGTGCTGTATTTGGTTCATAATATCACATTTTCACTGGTGAAGGCTCACTTTGTTTCCTGAGCTGTGAAAATGTTTGGTTTTCTTGCCTTTAACACCTGCGGTGACTTGATCATGCTGAGCGAATGCAGCTATTTGGCTAGCAACAAGACAGTAATGCAGGACGTGCCAGTGAAATGTGAAACTTTCGCACACATGACGTATCGCACAAGAGCCTTTCTTCTTTTCTTTCAAGAAATCTCACAATGCTGCACAATTTCTTTCAGTCCTTTGTTTTTGTCATATTTCTTATCTTGTTTTACATTTTTGGAGGCACTTTATGCTTAATCTTTTAGGCCTGCATCTCATTTTACTCTATCTACAGTTCAAAATATGGGTTTTGTTGCCATGATTTGATGTTTGATTAGTATGAATGTAAATCCTTAACCTTACCATTATTTTTTAAGATTAAGTTACAATTTTTCATAAAAAATTCTGTGCATTATGAAATTTGATATCTAAAATTTCACCATTTTTCAGGTTGATAACCTTGGTATGATCCAGAATTATTAAAAAAAAAACACTTTATACAGAAAATAAATTACTAATACAGTAAATAAGCTCCCTGAACAAAAAATTAGTCACCTTACATGTTTAAGGTAGTAACAACTTGCAGGCTCCTGCTGATGGCTTTGCGCGAGGATGATTGGGCTATAAACACCTGCGAGGTGTGCGATGGAATTCATAGATTGAGAAAAGGTGGTACAGTGCAGTGAATGTCTCGTTAAAAGGAGTGATTGCATTTGGGCGTGGCAAAGACCACAGTGTGAAAGAAGTAGCTGGATTTGCAGGTGTATCGAAGCGTACGGTCATACAGGTCTACTAGCAGCAGCAAAAATTCCCAAAGTCTAGAGGAAATTCTCATCAGAATTGTGGCTGAAATACGAAACTGACGGACAGGGACCATCAGCGTGTTTCACGGCTTGTGAATAGAAATAGAATTCTTTCAGAAATTGGTTGTGAAGGACCTGCACTGACTTATAGAAGCAATTTTTACCTGGAAGCAAAGCGATTTTTATTCTCCTTGGACAAAAAATTAGTCACCACCTTAAACACGCAAGGTGACAAATGTTTTGTCTGAGGAGCTTAGTTTTGTTTGTGTAAAAACTATTTACACTATAAAAACAATACACCAAGCTTTTTTTAGAATTGTGTTTTGATCAAAAAATGAATGCTAATGCTGACTTTATTGAATATCATTATAATCTATTTTATTTGATACTTTCAGCACCTTTGAGATTCATGTGGACACCAGTATCCAGTATTCAGTATTCATTCATCCAGTATTTCTTCTGAAATTAGTGGCATTAATAAGGCGTTTGTCCTCCCTTTGCTACAGTAACAGTTTCTACTCTTTTGGCAAGGCTTTACGTTATGTATTGCTGTGAGGGTTTGATTGCATTCAGGCACAAGAGCATTAATGAGGTCAGATACTGGTTGGATCTCACTTGAGCTCATCCCAAAGGTGGTTCACTCCAGAGAACACAGTTCCACTGCTCCACAGCCCAGTGCTGGGGGAATTTGTACCCCTCTAGCTGACGCTTTGCATTGGGCATGGTGACCTTAGGCTAATGTGTGACTGTGTCCTATTGTATTGGAAATGCTTTTTATGGAGATACAAGCTGTCTGTGCAATCAAACACCTGTGGCTGCACGTTAAAGTAGCTGAGGTAGTTCACTAAAGTACATTGTATTTAGTATTAGTGTGATCTAGAGTTTCTCACTCTCATAATCTCTCTCTCTCTCTCTCTCTCTCTCTCTCCTCTCACCTCAGATGCGAGGTATGCTGTTCCCCCCTCCTATCGCCCCCAGCCCTCATATGCTGCTCCGTCCTACGAGCATCCTGGCTGGAATCCACGCATGATCTCTGGAAATCAGCTCTACATGTTGGACCAGGAGGAGGTACAGCAGTGCTCTGTTCTCTTTACTACACTAAATTAGTTCAATTTTTAAAGTTTTTTTTTTTAATTATATAAATGATTAGATTGTATATTATATTATAATTACAGTCATATATAATAATTATATTCTGACCAGGTCCCAGCTGAGTTTTTTATATGTTTTAGTGAATTAAGGCATTCATGTGATCCAAAAAATGTAAATAGTTTGGGTCTCAACTCAAGACCAATCTTGAGTCGTGTCATCAGAGGTTGACTCATGCATGTTAATATATTGCAAAGTGTATCAAAATTGGAATTTGTAGCAATATAATTGCAGTTTTGTAATTCTGTACACATGGAGCATCTCCAACGAGTATTAATCATAATCTCTATTGCTAGAGTGATGATTTGGGAATAGTTTGTCAGGGTAACTTTTTCAACCTTTTCTTTTTAAAAGTATCACAATATTAAACAAAAAACCCTGAAATATCACAACATGTACATTTACATGCACACAGTAACCTAAGATCTTAGTCTAGGAAACTGGACCGAACCAAGATATTTACATAAGCTCTGTAAAATAACTAAATCATCTTAACATTAATGTCCAATTTTATCGGCCTGGACCACAAGTCTGGTTTATACTTGAGTTTTAATGCTCTAGTTTGCCTTCTAATTTAAATAAAGTGACTTAAAGTGTACAAGTCTTTGCATAAATGAAATGTCAACAGCGGTTGCACTTGTACTCTCCGCCTCTCTCGCTGCTCACCACTGATGAGTGTTTCTATGTCGTTATAGAAATGAACTCTATTAAATCTACAATGGGGACCAAAAGAACACTGGGGGTCTGAGAACACGGGTGAAAATGCTGCTGTTTTGCACTCTTTTTCATACAAATTTCAATTATCAGCATGAGTTTGAGTGAAAAGTAGAATCTCTGAATGTTTACATGAAGTTCTGAATTTCTTAGTATTTGGTGCAGGATTTGATTTAATGATAGTGTGCACTCAGGCTGGCATGGACTCCAGAAGTTTGTGCAAAACCCTCTGATCAGTAGATCTGAGCCACCTGAGTTTTTCAAATATTTCTTCTTCATTTCTTCATTCAAAAGTCAAACTTGTATTGTGTTTTAGAAATTTGCTGTTTGTGAAAGTAAAAAAGAAAGAAAAAAGTCCGTCCAAATCTTCACTGTCAGCAGTTATGCAGAAAGTCCGATATTTTCATTATTGTGTAAAATAGAAGAGAAATACATTGTTTCCTCATTGTAATTTCAGACATGTTAGATGTTCATAGCAAAGACCAGGCTACTCTTGCCTGATTGGCTAAATGCAACATGCCGGCTGCGCTCTTTTGCATGAAGTTGTAAGTGGACACGTACTGGACCTTGCTCGGACCATGTTAGGCTACGTTCACATTACCAGGCTGAAGTGTCACAAATCCAATTTTTTTGCCCTAAAGTAACTCAGATCTTTTCAGGGCTATGTGGCCACACAAACCACTTTCACATATGGTTCTAGATCTGATACATATCTGATTCCTGGCCATGCAACCTTAATGTGACGCTCAGATCGGAATTAATTTGCTTTTTTCATTGCGCGTGCGCCATCATTCAGTGTTAGCATGGCAGCAGCGCGGAACAGAAGTTAAAGCCTGTAAACAGTGGAAAAGCAGCTCATCTCACCTTTTTCTCCTTCGCCTCGCTCTAATAATGAAGCTGAGAGCTGTTTAGAGTTAATGATCTTCTCAGCGAAGCTCGTTCTGCTCGTGAGTTTGTGCTGATGATGCACGTGATTCATTCACGTGACGTTACTGAGTAGGATGTGCTCATGTGGGTCATTTCAGGATGCTGGTTCGTTCACATTAATGACAGATTTCAGTCACTTACCTAAACGAGTGTGAACCATCGTGTCAGAGAGATCGGATTTGAGCAAAAAATCATATTTGAGCAACGAGGCTTGTAGTGTGAGCGTAGCTATAATGACAAATTGTGCTGTTTACTGATCCTGGCTTAGATAAGGCGCTTTTCCACTGCATAGTACCTGCTTGATTTGACTCTACTCACCTTTTTTGGTTTTCCATTAGGCAAAAGTTGGTACCATCTCTATCAATGTTCCAAGCGAGCTGATCCGATACCGAAAAGTGATACTATATCTGCAGTGGAAAACGAAGTATCTGCTACCAAAAGATTGTCGAGTCGAGCTGAGTCTAGTCGACTCGAGCTGGTACCATGCAGTGGAAAGGCGGCTTTAGACTAGCGGTGCTAGACTAATATCAAACCGTAGGTGTGCATGTGAACATATTTAGCATGACTCTTCTAATATCGTTCAGCCCTAGTGTAGTTGTAGTGAAGGTGAATGTAACTGCAAATCCCCACTTTTTTCAATTATGTGTATCATTGTTGCAGCTTTAGTGCTGGTGTATTCAGATTTTTTTAACCCCTGCTTTGCATTTTTACATATTAAAGAGTAATGCTGTTATACAACACTGTCTGTTTACTTATTAATGCAGTATAAATGGTTTCTAATGTGAATTTTAATAGACATTAAAGATGTGTCTGGGGGGAGATAGTTCCATCTCCTTCCTCTGACTTGCTACTGATAGACAATTACATGACCTGTAATGCAGATCAGAACTATTGACACAGGGAGCACAGAGAGCTCCATCAATCAGAGGCCTTTTCGTGTCTAATTGTGTCCGTTTTGCTGCGTTTTCAGATAAGGCCACACTTTGAATAGATTTGAATCAGTCATGACAGGCTAATGACTGTCACCCCTGTAAAGATGGGCATGATGAAATATTCATGGTTGCCACTCATCTCCTAGAGGGGACAGTCAGTCCCGTGTGTGTGTGTGTGTGTGTGTGAGAGAGAGAGAGAGAGAAGGAGAGAGAGAGAGAGAGAGGATGCTAGCACAGATTTGTGTTGTGAATGACAGCTATCTCCCCTGCACTGAGAGACTGCAGGAGAGCATGTTTTTCACAGATTGTTTTCTTAGTGTTTTGAGTCGTCCGTTTCAGCTGCTGTCTAGCGCTGTACATTCCCAGGACCACCTGGAACTGCATAGGAAACAAATAGTGGCTTTTTATAATATTCTATTATATAATATTTCCCCCTTACCTCATGTATAGTCGATCAGCCAACACATTTAGGGTCCAAAGTTTGCTTCTTCAGTTGTGGAGCTATGAGGCTAATGTTGTTAGTAGGGATGTCGATGATTAACCAGTCAACTGTTAACTGACAAATACATAAATGTTCCACCAGCGACTTTAGGTAAAAACGCACTTAATTTCCTATAAACAGTTGATATTTGAATAGGCAAGTTTTCATTCAACATGAAGACCATTTTTGAATTGTGTGTGAGCGCCTTGTTAGTTAGTCATTAGCTGATGTAGGTAGTCCCATGACAAAAGAGCTAGCAAGCTGCCAACTTTATGTGATTTTAAACTATGCATGACCTTCAGCTAGCCCTGGGCAGGCCATATGTGTCAGTTAACTTGTGCTAATGATGTGTGGTAAATGTAAGTTAGTTATTATGTTAGTATGTATTATGTTTGTAAGTAAGTTATTATGTTACTATCATGTACGTTACGTTGGGCTGTTTTTTCATTCAGTAACGTCTAAAGCCTCATTTTGATAAAACGCAGTGCTGTATTTGATGTTGTCATGAGTTGTGTCTGTGATCTTAGGCTTGTTTAATGCTAAATTACTAAAACAGTGGGTTTTCGGTCAAAAGAATTTGCCAAAATTCACGGCACTAGTTGCTAGCAAATAAAAGAAGCTTATAGCCACTGATTAGCATTGTGTGAATGCCTAACCCTGCATTCACATTAGCAGGTGACGGAGCAGCAGGAGACCAGTTATTTCCTATGAAAGTAGCTACGATTTAGCTAGCAACAGGTGACACAAAGACAGGGTAAAAAGTAAAAAATCAATGGTTTTTGTACTTCATGCAAATGTTTAAGATGCGGTGAAGCAATAAAATGACTGAGTGCAATAAAATCCTCTGACCAGTTGTAGACACAGGTTGCCTGAGGTCCCCAGTCTCTATTCTGTGAACTTTTTGTTGCTAAGAGCATTTCGTTCCTGTTCCCAATAGTGTCACATGAAAAATGGAGAAATTTAACATATCAATTTGTAAACTTATAACCATGGTTCATATTTTAAACAAAGCAGATCTTTTCAGAAGATGGACAGTGTGCACACCCACATGTGAAGCCTTGAGCACACGTACCAGAGACAAAGTTGGGGTGATTTTATTGACTGGACACCTCCTAATCTGAATGTATGACACAGGGACCTAGATCTGCCTTAAGCTGTAGCATGTTTTTAAGTAGTCTCAGACAGATTTGCCTCTTTCCTTACTTAGAAAATACAAGTGCCAGAGGGATGTAGTCATATTGGTCGAATGAACCCTTCCCTCCCACATGAAGAACAAGTAACTTAACTATTTATATAGTTAGTGGAGCTGATAAAATGGACAAAGAGTGTAAAAAACAAAGTATAATGAAATGTATATGTATATACATTTGTTTCTGTAGCCTGTATAGAAAAAGCTGCTCAGGCGAAGCTACTATTTCTTAGCCTTTTGGTGCACGAAAAAGACTCAGTACTGTGATATTTCCAGTCAGTGAAACACAATTTTAATAATAAATTGGCGCTTCTCATATCAGCATTGTGATATCCAACAGATTTATTGAATGTTGCATTTTATGTCCATATCATGCAGCCCTAATGGCTAATTTGGTCCAGGTCATGGGACACATGGCAGTATGGCTTGGGGACTGAAACTGCTGTGACTGAAATTCTGAGCTAGTGGTTTTATTGATGGTGCATTTTGTAAGACCACTCTGGGTTGGTCCTGCATAAGAAGTCATACACTAAGAGAAAGAAATTTGGTAGTTAACTTTCCATAATACTCTGGTGGTTTTGCCCAAACTGTGCTGGACACCCCTGCTGTACCATCTAGAGTTGATTGTGGCTATGCTTAGCTATTGAACTTCTTAGGAAATCACCAAACTGGACTG